GGGGGGACTTGAAACGAATGATATACTTGTTTTCTTTGAATACACCTTTCTTAATCCCAAAAATGAGGTCTGAGGAAGATAGAATACATGCTGACCTTACATCTACCTACTTTGAAGGGTAGACATGCTGTTTCCGATGCATAATTTTCTTTTCTCAACTGTTGCCTTAGAAATTTACTCATTTCTATTAATCTCTTTCTTAAGGCTTTACAATGATCCGAAACTCAGCATTCAATTTAAGAAATGATCTCAGTGAACAGCATGTGATTCAGAAGATAAGAACCTCGAAAATAATCAAACATGTTAGAGGTCGAATTACTATACACATTAAGAATAACCCCTCATCTCCATATCATATAGATGGAGCTCTGGAAAAAAGAATGTCCTTCCAATTCTCCACCCCACCCCAACTCCAACATCTGTATGTTTTTTCTCTGTACTTCCACCAACATAAATCTACACCTCCGCTTGGGTAATGATCGGGAATAACCATAAAACCGAAGCAAGAAAGAACCCCTGCCCATGAATCTGCTAGCTTACATCTTTAGCTATATTACACACTGATACAAATGAAGACATCGGATGTTCGTCATTCATCCACTCCGTCAAGTTGACAGAAGAAAGCAGCAGAAGCCATGAAAGGAGAACAATTACGCTTCAGTTATGACATCTGCATCTATGCCGTGGGGGAGACCGTGGGGGAACAGCTTCGTCATGAAATTCAAAGAGGGAACCACTTTCCGCTAAAACTCTCCTGGCAGCTTGAGAATGTTGATTTCTACCAATCTTTCTTGAAGGAAGTGACTCCGAGGCAGCAGCCTTTGATGAACTGTTACTTTCAAAGGATGCTAAGAATTTGTCCTTTGATAGAGATTCTTGAGCAGACAAAACAATAGAACTGAAAACACCACTCTCCCTCAAACCTTGGACAATAACCTGCACATACAAAATAGAAAAGAATGAATAAACAAACCTATCATTGGACTGTGTTGTAAAGATGTTTCTGACGTTTTAGGGAAACACAGATCAGGATCCTCTCAAGAGAACAAAGTGCAGGCATTGTTTACTGGAATACAGACAAACAGATTGCTGGAGAAGATGATGGAAGGATCTACGTTTCCCTAACACTAACTCCATATTCAGGTACTCCAAAGTTGCCATTTCATGGCTGCATGTGACTTGCCATGGCCATAAACCTTTTCATTTTTCATTGTTGCACGCTGACTTTCTACTTCATTCCTAATTTTTTATAACCTAGAAATCCCATGCAAGTTGGTCCAATCCTAATTGTCCTTACAGGTTCAGAACTTGATGGAGCATGGGCCCGCCTAGTAGTCCCACTTAAATACCACATTTTGTGCCAAAGACAAGGTTTGAACTGTGACATATGCCTAAATAAAATCCCTGGGAGCACTTCCCTAATTTTTCTACGAGACAGTTTCTCTCTACAAATATGATGGAATAGAGAAAATATTTTAATACTTCTGACATCATCTTTCACCCTTCCTAAGCAATCTCCTATTTCTTGCATTCCATGTGATCCAAAAAAGATACATCCACAGCATTCTCATACTGGTCTTCGGTATTTTCCAATTTGTGGCTACTTGACAATATGCATGAAATATCAGGCAGGTGATCCGCATCCTCTCCCAACTATCAAACATATGTACTCACTTCAAAGGCTACACTACTCTTGTGTTCTAAGGACTTGTAATATGACAAGAAGAGGTTTTTGTTCTAGGGTGACAGTTCTTAAACTTTTTCCCTAGCTTAACAACCTCTTCTTTTTTACTATTCAGAAAAATGCACTTTTGGGCCCAAAGAAAAAAGATTTCCTAAGTCAGTTTGTCCAGGCTTACCATGGGAGCATATATACGAGTTAAAATGCCTTTCCTCAAAAGTTTCAGGTTCATCGCTTTGTCAGTCCATACCACATGTTCACGGTACCTGACCAAGGAAAAGGAATATCTTCAGAACAGCAGAGTAACTAGATTGATGAATAACTCGAGCACATAATTAGAGTCCAATAAGCCAACTCAGTAGTACAAAAAGGGAGCTGAGCGAAACTAAATTGGATTTAGCTGCTATTTAGATTAGAAATTACCAGTTTAACATCTCATCCTCTGTAGCAGTTGAAGCAATAATAAATGCCTGGAGAAGATAAAACATATTATCACTTTGAGCATATTAGCTCATAAACTATCAAACTCAAGAAAAAATAAAACACAATAGTTCACACTAGATCAATAAACTGTCAACAGATAGTAATTACCCCCCCCCCCCCCCCCCCCCCCCCCCCCCACCACCC